GTAATCTGAGAAATTACAAAAATTAATTTACTCATGTAAACTGAGCAATTACAAAGACTACTTATTCGTATAAATTGAGAAAATACAAAACATATTTTTATAAACTGAGAAATCAAAGAACATTCTAGTAAATTGAAAAGATATACAAAGAGCATTCTTTCAAACAGAGAAAATATGACAAATATTCTTGTAAACTGAGAAAATACAAAGAAAAATTTTTTCTTGTAAACTGAGAAAATACAAAGAATATTCTTGTAAACTGAGAAAATATGACAAATATTCTTGTAAACTGAGAAAATATGAAGAAAAATATTCTTGTATACTGAGAAAATACAAAGAATATTCTTGTAAACTGAGAAAATATGAAGAAACTGAGAGAAAACATAGGCTTTTCTTATAAACTGAGAAAAACTATTCTTTTTAACAAATATTCTTGTAAACTGAGAGAATACAATATATATACAAAATTTCTTGTAACAGAAAGATTACAAAGATTCTTTTGTAAGCTGAGAAAATGCCAAAAACAAGATTGCATTTGAGAAAAATGCTATGCCACCGCATGGTTCAAATTTCATAGCTGTACATCAAAGGACAAGAAAGTAGGTCACATCATCAAAATCTAGGTCACCTGATATCAAAGTTCAATTTTACAACTAAAACTGTGCACATGGTCAAAATGTCATTGCTGTACATCAAAGGACAAGAAAGTAGGTCACTGTCCCCTTGGGCCCAAGGGTTTAATTTCAAAACAATTTTGATACAGGTCCACCAAATAACATTTCAAGTCAAATATCTAAGCTATAGCTTTCTCCCATTCAGAAAACATTTGTTTTATTTTCTGTTTTTACTATGTGTACATAATGAGAATCACTGCCCCCGGGCAGGGCCAATTTTGACACCAGGGGAAAATTTTGAACAACTTTGGTAGAGGACCTATTAATGATATTATATATCAAACACCAAAGCTCTATGCCTTGTACCTTCAGACAAAAATATTTTTTATTTTTTCACTATATGTACATAATGAAAATCAATGACCCCCGGGGCGGAACCAATTTTGACCCCAGGGCTATAATTTGAACAATCTTGCAAGAGGTTCACTACACAATGTTTCATGCAAAATATCTTAACTCTAGCCTTTGTAAATTTAGAGAAGATGATTTTTTAAGTTTTTACTATATACATAATATAAGGAAAACCTATGGCCACCGGGGGCGGGGCTAATTTTGACACAAGAGGCAAAATTTGAATAACTTTTGTAGAGTACCTTTAGATGATATTATTTAACAAATATTAAAGCTTCAAGCCTTGTACCTTCAGACAATAAGATTTATTTATTTTTTACTATATGTATATATTGAAATAAAAGACCCCCAAGGGCGGGGGCAATTTTGACCCCAGGGCTATAATTTGAACAATCTTGCTAGAGGTTTACTACACAATGTTTCATGCAAAATATCTAACCTCTAGCATTTGTCAATTGCTAGAAGAATTTTTTTTGAAGTTTTTATTATAAGTTTTTACTATATACATATAAGGAAAACCAATGACCCCCGGGGCGGGGCCGATTTTGACCCCAGGGCTATAATTTGAACAATCTGGGTAGAGGTCTACCAGACAATGCCTTATGCAAAATATATAAGCTCTAGGCCTTTTGGGTCTTTACAAGAAGGTGTTTTAAGTTTTTACTATATGTACATATAGTGAAAATCAATGACCCCGGGTGGGGCCGATTTTGACCCAAGGGCTATAATTTGAACAATCTTGGTAAGGGTCTACCAGATCATGCCTTATGCAAAATATCTAAGCTCTAGGCCTTTTGGGTTTTTACAAGAAGGTATTTTAAGTTTTTACTATATGTACATAGTGAAAATCAATGACCCCCGGGGCGGGGCCATTTTTGACCCCAGGGCTATAATTTGAACAATCTTGTTAGAGGTCTACCAGACAATGCCTTATGCAAAATATCTAAGCTCTAGGCCTTTTGGGTCTTTACAAGAAGATTTTTTAAATTTATTCTTATAATTCCTTTTGGTTGCCATGGCAACCAGATTTCTGCATGGAATGAAATTCTTTGAACAACTTTGGAAGCACTTCACCCAAGGAACAATCCTGCCAAGTTTGGTTGAAATTGGACTAGTGGTTTTTCACAAGAAGATTTTTTAAGTTCACTATATAATCTATATAACACACACACAAACACACACACTAACACACACACACACAGGTGAATCGCTATATGCCACCGCATCGCAGATGCTGCGGTGGCATAAAAAGATATTGTAAAAGAAAACTCTGCGAAAACTAGAGATCTCTGAGCTTATAAATAAATACAAATTTATTGTCATAAAAACCTAAAAAAAAACTTTTGAGCTTTAAGAACAAATCACCTGGAAAGTAGATTAAGCCCTATCAAGAAATATATATTCTAATGAATTCTCTTACATAATGTATAATTATAAAGTTGGTATAAAATTGAATTTCATTGTGATTGATTTTTTCTTCTTCAAAAATTTAAGTTATGTTCATATAATTACAGAAATAAATTATTCAACTATGGTTTTGTTTGTTTGATTGGGTTCTACATCACCTCAACACAGTATTGGTGATGTTCCAGCTTTACTGGTGGAAGAAGGCCTCAGGTTCCATGCATTATTTCAGGCACAAACAGGCCCCTTAGTAGAAACACCGATGTTCCGTAAGCTAGCTGGATAGCTTCCTCACAAAAGTCATGAAAGAATCCAAAATCCCTGTTGGGATTCCAACCCACAGCGGTGAGGGGCAAGTGGTTTAAGTCAACAACCTTAACCACTCGGCTACGGGTTTTAAATGTTTTATTCATTGACAATTCTATCAAAAGTGCTTTGGCTTCACTTGTTATTTGCAACAAGAGATTTTGTTAAATTGATATTAACTGCCAAAATTTGATACACATCCATTACTAAGCATTATATACTTCAAAATATCAGTGAAAATGAAAATGGAATCTTTACCTAATATAATGATAGAGGGTCCACAAAATTGAGCAAAGTCAAGCCAAATAGCTCTTAATAGTAATTGACATGTACTTCAAATATACATGAAATGACATTAAAATCATTATGACATTATTATTGTATGATGTAATTTGGTCATCATTTACAGAAATTTTATTAAGAATTACAGGCATAGATATCATTAAGTTATAGATTGATTTATTGAAAATTAATTTATGTTCAAATTCATTTGATTTAATTGGTCTTGGGGAAACAAAAAGGATCAAAATAGCAATAAATGAATATCATACATCAACAAAATATTAAAAACTTGTTGAAACTTGATCTCCCAAAAATATAGATATATAAAAAAATGAATATATGTACAAATTAAGTACTAGTATGTGCATATTAAGCATGTTTACATAAAAATGTACATGTGTATACATATATGTATATAAAATTTTGCATAGGAAAAAAAATCAATAATGCATATCAATGAAAAAACTCATTAAAAGAATTGTATGAAAAGGTATACAACATGAAAAAAGTGGGTCCATGATAGTTCTAAAATGCTTAATAGTATTTCATTGTCCAAGATATAGAAATCAAAAACACAATTCTTGGTGCATAGCACAATTAAGTCGCTAAGTGCAAACTGATCTAAACGGCACAAATCTTGGTTTTGTTCCCTAGTTTACATGGAATGAGATTAACAGACTTTCTATGGCAGAATCCGAGCGATGGCAGAAGTTTAATATGAGAATATATTTGTGTCAGGAGCGAAAACAAACATTTCAACAGTATCAAGAAAATTTCAAAGAACCATTGCTTAAATCAGTAATGCTCTGGTTATAAAAACAACAAATATCTGTTATAAGTCTATCTTACACAATTTCTTTCAAATTGTGCCTCATTACTGTAAACATTTCCTTCGTAGTTTGTGTCATAACCAAAAACAATTTCTCTTTTTCCTTCTACCCAATGAGAACAACTCAAGACAATGTTCAAAACAAAATCAGCCTGTCCTTTCCTATTTTGCATCAAAAAGAATATTACTACAACAACAACAACAACAACAAGTACCAGTAATTAGATCTGATTTACAACATGTTCAATGTACATCACACCATTATATCAACCTGACTTTTGATTTGTACATAACCAGTATAAAAACTGGATGAAACATCAAAACAAGTTTTAACTAACCCTATATACAGACATTCCAAAAATGTCAACCCTGATTTTTAACAACAATCTAATGACTCTCATCCATTAAAATCTAACCTCAAACTTTTAACCCGATTGAACTGAAAGAGATTAGCCTTTGCCACAAATATAGAGCCAGGCCAGTCTGCAAATCCAGGCCATCTAACCAGGCTCTATACTCTATATCAGTAGTCTTAACAGTTTTACCTTGATATTAAACTCCTATTAACTTTAAATGATCTATTCCAAATTCAAAGATGGGCAAATCCATTTCAAATTCAGTAGGTTAAGAGTTTTGATTTATCAGATTCTTTTATCAAACATCGTCATATTATGACATAACGATCACCAAGAAAAGAAAGCCACTGCTATTATGACATATTAAGAAATGCTGACATATGTTGGCTAAAACAGGTTAAATCCAGTACTAAATAAACCTTGAGATGGTGTTGGTGGTGTTGGTAAATTACCCTCCAGATCATGACTGACAGTAAGGCACTTTGAATTCACCAGAGCACAGAAGAACATCTAAAAAACACATTTAATGGCTCAATGATCACAAATAAATGCCTGGTAAGAGATCACAGTACAATTGCCTTGGGTAAGGATATTACAGAGCTAAGATTCCCAGCAAATGTCATACAAAAGTCAAATATGGTTTAAATTACTAGTCGCCATACGAAAGTTAAATATGGTTTAAATTACTAGTTGCCATACAAAAGTTAAATATGGTTTAAATTACTAGTCGCCATACAAAAGTCAAATATGGTTTAAATTACTAGTTGCCATACAAAAGTTAAATATGGTTTAAATTACTAGTCGCCACACAAAAGTCAAATATGGTTTAAATTACTAGTCGCCACACAAAAGTCAAATATGGTTTAAATTACTAGTTGCCATACAAAAGTCAAATATGGTTTAAATTACTAGTTGCCATACAAAAGTTAAAATGGTTTACATTACTAGTCGCTTTGCCTTTTCATCAGTTCCATTTCCACATGTAGCAATGGATTTCATAACCTATGGTGTGTCTGGAATTATAACAATAGGTAGCAAAAATTGGTTCCAGAAACAACCATACATTATTTTAGTCTAGCTCAACAACTGACTGTAAAACAGATAAATAAAACAAACTTGCTTCAAAACATTAACATTTTCATTTGCAATCACTATAGTCCATAAATGTGTACCACATTTACCAAATCCAGAAACAAGTCTAATAATACATCCTTGACATAACCTGAGCTGTTTTTTCCTGCAAATGATTACCTCCCTTTACCTTCATTTCAATAATCTACATCCTTACTATCACAATGAGTATTTGGTCCCTGAGCAAAACTGCCCTCATATAAAAAACACCACATACCTGCGAAACAGTTTACGCAACAAACCATGCCATTCCATTCAATTACACCAATAATAACAATGATATCACAGAAAGATTTTAAATTCTTGCATTTTACATTGTATGACATCATTTTATCATACATCAACAATACCAGAGTGTAAGAGTAATCTCCTGACATTTCAAGCGGTCTATGTTTAAAATAAACATACATGTAATACACATATTGCTTCTTGAAACTTGTTGCAACAAACAAAATGTTTACCTAACAATGCAACCAACAAAATCTTTACATAACAAGGGGCTAGAGTTAGTTCAAAATTGACCAATGTTGTGACAAATTTTCCGTGACCTTCTTTGCCATCAGTTTAGAACAAGGGCGACCTACACATCCATGCAGTCTGACCAAGATCTATACTGTTGGCTAACAAACTTCAAATTTTCATCCTATATACATATCATACTTATATACATTTTTGTGACCAGTTACAAATAAATCAGTTCTATTGGCCGATTCAAAAATCATGCTCAGAATCAACCAATCAGATGCATGGGAATTTTAAAAATTTGCATATGACATCTTATTTTAACTATTCATCCTAATAACTGTAATATTGAAAATAGTTAAATATGGAAAACTGCCAAAATGCCTAATCAAGTCACATTGGCGATTCTTAAATTTCAAACATGAAAAAAATACATTAAGAAATGAAAGAAGCAAAAATGGTTAGAACAAAATGCCAGTTATGAGATCTTTCAATATCTTCAAAGATATCTTCTTTCAATCATAAAACTGAAGTAACACATGTTGCTTTGCAAGACTTTCAACAGATAAAAAAGGGTTTTTAACCTGGTATTTTGAGACTTATACAAATATTTTGTTAAAAAATATCTATTGTAAACATAATTTGCATAAATGAAAGGCATTCACAATTACCAGAGCAGGTTTCTACTGCCAGAATGATCATGTGTTTATAGTTAGTTAGGACTCAGTAATATACATTTTGAGAATAAACTGTGAAACCAGTCTATTTAATAAATCATTTCTATTGGCTGATTCAAAAATCATGCTCAGAATCAACCAATCAGACGCATGGGCTTCAGACTGGTCTTCTATCTCTAATTTAAAAACATTTACATACATGTTTCACTTAACAGCTATCCTCCTGAAAACACACTTATTAGTATACCAGTCTGCTAAGGCACCTCATACCAATGTACATGTTTATTGCTATTCTTTCTGATGCACAGTCTATTTAATTTGTAAAGAAAACATATTTTCAAACCCAGTCACAAATAATAACATTATATACACTTTGCACCAATGTGAGTTAAATTCTAGGCTATAACAGTAGAAAGCACTGTCCTTCCACATTTTCTTCAAAAACACTCCTATATGTTGTCTATACACAGGTCCAAAATATACCACATTGCATTCTTTTCAATACAACTTTACACCACCGGTATACAGCAAATCTACTATACGTAAGTAATAACGTTTACAAGCCATATTTCCGGTGTCGTCTGCTGCTACCAATCAAGAAATTCTTGGACCGTTCCTTCAAACACCATCTTACACATAGTGGTAAAGTCGCAACAATAGTTCATACACTAAACATTGAACATAACTATCACCTTCTCCTATTTATCTTCAACTCTCATCTTAGATAGACCAATGCTACTATGAACTATAGCATTTTTTCCTACCGAAAATATTTCTGCACCACATTTTTGCAACGTCTTCATAAACAGCACAAACAATACACACACTACGATAATTAAAGCTTTACACATCTGTTTTACTCTCAAATACTTGTGTTATTTTTTTGACAATTGTACCAAGCATACATGTACTATATTACCTGATTACACGTATGCTACAATTCACAGTCCAACTGCTTTCGATTCTATAAACATACACGTGTTTACTCATTCAGGTGGCATCAAACAAGTTACGCAGACTGTAAAAGTCATATAATCTGACCCATTTACTTTTCTGTACAATAACCAATTTATACCGCAGTGCACTTTACCATTTCCTGTACAACAATTCATTTACTGACTGGTGTATCAGATCGTCCGTCTGTACTGTCACTTTCTGAGGTGGAAGTTGGGGATAAGGAACTTGTTGTTCTAACACTATCAATATCACAGTCTTTGAAATATTTGTGTCGCAAAGCGTCACTGGCACTTATTCTTCGATGAGGGTTAAACATGAGCAATTTCTGTGTAAGAAAAAAATTAAATAAGATTGACTATTATCGCAACAACAAGCTTTTAAAAGTACAAGAACAATCTTTTGTTTCAGTAGCGTAGGATACCCATGGCCGAACCATTTATTAGACATGGGATTTTATGCTGATATGCAGGCGATTAGAAAAGTGTGTCAGCTTTTGGTGCCTCACAATTTCAAGAAGTGATTAAAACCAACCAAAACGTTTGTTCTATATGCCGTTTGGTGAAGTGTTAAAACTTAAAAAAATATCATTACAGTGGTATCTGCTTGTGGAAGAATCAAATTGGCAATAGTTTTTGCCTTTTATATTGGCAAGACACATAAAACAGGTTTTCACCGTGGGCACTATTTAGTTTCCAATTTTATACTCTTGTTGTTGAAGAATGAAAATTTTGTTAATACGATTTCATTGGTTGATATTTTAACCACCTGTTGAATATCAACACAAATTGATTCATTTTACCCACAGTTGACAACATGTTATGTTACATATTACTCAACTGTGAGTACCCGACAATGCTACTTTAAGAATAAGAGAAAGTAAAAGTATCACATCCTTGACCTTGAAAATCTATGCATTCGAGCAGTTTGGCCAGGCACATTACTACTGGCGGACAACTTCATCCTGATATCCCAAAAACTGATAATGGACTAATCAATTCAGAAAATTCCAACACAAACTAAAATAAATTTGTACAAACTAATTCATAAATTAAGCATGTTATAGATCAAATAGCTAAAATGTCACTTTTAAAAATATATATCAAATGTAACTAAAATGACTTGAAAGATATAATTATAATATAAAAGTATATATACCTCAAATAAGTCCATGCCATCTGGATCTATTTCTGGTATATAACTGGAGACAGAGCGAGGTGGAAATGCTTGAAATGAACTCCATGGCAGCGATACACTCTGTGGCCAATCAGATTCTATTGGTCGACCCCTGACCCTGTAACCATGACAATATGTGTAAATAATTATATATTCTTATGAACTTATCATAGAATTAATTCATTGCAGATGGAATTCAAAAAATACTAATGTGATTTTTTTTACACACGCCAAAACCAGTTTTACTAATAAATATACAATACCATATATGCCATGATTTCTAGACTGCTTCCGGTGACATTTTTCATGGGGATTATTGAGATTAGCAAGCAAGATGTCTCTTAAATTAGCAAAGTGGCATTCAATTGATAACCTACATGTATATTTACAATTTAAGTAATTAGCATCACTAAATCCAATCAGTCACAGAAAAAGGATAAGGATTTGTTACAGTGCACAATTTTGCTGTTTAGTTTTGTCAAAATAGCTTAACATCAATTCAATTAACTTGTCCAAATCAAATCTATAACAGCGTTATTTATTCTTTTCTAGATAGGAATATGAAGGTCATAAATAAGTAAATTTTTCTTTAGGCAATGCATGCATCTCAAACACTTCATGATTATACATGTATGTGGTGAAACAAAATCTTTTAATGAAAATATTGAAAACAAGAGCTGTCAGTAGGACAGCACGCTCGACTATTCTAAGTGCTTGATAGTAAAAGAGCCTTGATAATGTTAAATTTTCTAAGTTCACCAAAGGGCTAATCTTTTTTTTATAAATTCATGTTAAAGGCCATAGAGAGAGTCTAATTATACAGTATTGGCTTGACTATTTGGAAGGTAATGTCATTAGGGTGTTTTATTGAGTATAATAATACTAATTACCTATGAATACATAAATTTGACAGAAAAGGTACAAAGGCTTGTTATTAAGATGTTTTATCAAATAAATCACTGCTTTATTATTATGAATGCATAAAATTGTCCCAAAAAAGGCACAAACCCTTCAGTAGTTATGGAGATAACAGCTTACAAGCAAAACTTTACCATGAATTTCTAAGTTGAAAAGGGGAAGAAAAATCAGCCTAAATGCAAGATAGAATTATGGATCTTTGTCAGTGACCTACAATTCTGACCCTAAATGCATATGTGAAGTTTTAAATAAATATCTTTAATAGTTGAGATATGTAAAACTTGCATGTAAACATTAACCAAGAGACTAAGTAGAAAAGGGGATATGAATCAGCCTTAATGCAAGATAGAGTTATGGAACTTGGTCAGTGACATACAATTATGACCCTCAAATTATGACCCTAAGTACATGCGTAAAGTTTCAAGTAAATATCTTTGAAGACCTTTAACCTTTAACCAAAATTTTTAAGTTTCAAAGGGGCAAATAATTCTGCAAATATTGCAGACAGAGTTATGCAATTTTGCAAAAAGATGTACATTGTTACTATAAAAAAGTGTTGTAAATTTCAATTGAATATCTCAAGCAATAATTGAGATATTTGACTTTACAAAAAATATTTAACCAAAATTTCTAAGTTTCAAAGGGGCATAATTCTGTCAATATTGTAGGCAGAGTTATCCAACTTGTCAATCTGATGTACCTTGTTACTATCAATAAGTATTGTAAGTTTCAATTGAATATCTCAAGCAATAATTGAGATATTTGACTTTACAAAAAACTTTAACCAACGCAGACGCCGACGCGGACGCTGACGCCGACGCCGACGCCGGGGCGACTACAATAGCTACAATGAGCATAATGAGCATAATTGAATACCAAAATCTATGACATATAATGTACACTTTCCTATGAGCAGAGTTGATAATCATCAACAAGAATGTGAAGTTTCAAATCAATATTTCAATGTGGTGTAGGAAAATTGAGGTTGTTTAATTAAAACTTTCAACCTTTAACCTGCTAAAACATTAACTGATAAGCCTTTGCCCCTGTGAGTCAGACAAGACTCTATAACTTTAGCTGGCTTTCAATTTTCATCATGACATCCCCTAAATGATAATGGTTATATCCATAATCTGAAGTTGTCAAGTCCATTTTAACAAATTTAGCAGGTTAAGAAAGTTTTATGCTAATGTTAATTCGTTCAGCATGACATGCTTTGAAATACCACCTGTCTCCAAAGACCTATTTCCCAAGATAAATGCACACAGAACATTTTGATAATTCCAGTTTAAAGAATCAAAGGGAATCTGGCCACCTATACATGTATCACATATGTTTTCTTAGCCTGATGAGATATTTTCTCAAATAAAAGCCTGAAGTTCTGTTTTGTTTTTATGTGGACTGATGCCAGACTGTAATAGTTCTGTTTTTTAACAATGATTTTGCATCAGTTCTAATACAATTTTCACTAAATTGCTGCCAACTTTTCCTCAAAATTTCCTTCAACTTGTATTGGATAATGTATTGTGATGGAAATACTGTTCTCAGTCTGTTACGAAACACTTTCTGCCAGACTCATGATTCAAACTTGTTATTCTGAAGTCAGAATGCCTACCATTTACCTAAATGAACATAGCTTATGGTCATTGTTGTTTTTTCTCAACAAAACAATTTTATAAATTGGCAAGCAAAAAAACAACAACCAAGCTTACTAGGTGCATAGGGAAACTCTATAATGCTGGGACTTTTTATTTAAAATCATGCCAAAAACTATAGTATATTTTAATAACTGAAAAACTTACTCAAATATTTTTATAAGCTGGTCAATATCAGACTCTCCACAAAACAATGGTCTGAAAAAAATAAAATAATGTCATCCTTTTTACACATAAAGGGAAGTAATCATTTTTAAAATATCACTGTGTCATCATAATTACCTCCCTTATCAAATAAGCTCTTAAGAGTGCATGATTACCTGTTTATGTCAACAGTGAACCATTATACAATGAAAGAGACATACATCAAACCAATGAGTCTGAAAAACAATGAGTTTGAATCCAAGTGACAATTTATCAATAATAAACAAATGTTCATCAATATTGACTTTCAAATGCCATCCTAACTTTCATCACAATTCAAGGTAAATTAGATATGCTAAAATTAATCTTAGTTTTAAAATGGCCAATTATGAACTATAAACTTACCTTCTATTGAAGAGTTCAGCAAATATACAACCACAGCTCCATATGTCAACCGGGGTGGCATACTGTGCTTGTAGGATCACCTCTGGTGCCCTGTACCATAATGTTACTACCTGGAAAATAAACCCATTTTTTCAAAGAAACTTTTTTTTACATAGCTTTATTAACCCTTAATTTGCATATAGTAACAGATTTTACCCATGCACCCAGTGCAGACAAAGATCAGCGGGATGTGTATGTGTTTCATGCTTAATATTCAATTTCATCTTTATTATGATGAAAACTGGTGAATTATTTTGCAATTAACCCTTAACCAGCTTGAAATGAAACTGACTAGTCTTTGTCAACAGTATAAAGCCAGGCCAGCCTGCACATCTCTGCAGTTTGACCAGGCTGTACCAACTTCAAACTTTCATTTTGATATCCCAAAAATTGACAATGGACAGTTCTAAACAGACCATTTAAGAAATCCAGCAAGAAAAAGGTTATGTGGGGCACCTTCCACCTCTTATTGAAAATAAACCTGTAAATCAACTGTTCTTTTTCCAGACAAGAAGATGGTTAAAGGACAAATACTTTAAATCAAGGAATACATTCCTTATATTATAATGTAGATACAACTATGAAAATTCACCAAAGACTGTCTCGAAGCTAAGCAGTACTTTAAATATTGCTATCACTCACATAGTCTCAATACAAAAATTGATTTTCTGGATACAAATTAAAATACGGCTTAATAATTCAAGAAATTAGCATATTGACATCTGCATGGTTTTGACCTAGTTTTGTGACAACAAATAATTAAATAATAATTTCAGAACAGGTTTATTGTATTAGAAATACATAAGCTGGAAGGCAGTGAAGTCACCTTAGTGCAGTCACAGGTTAACTCCTATTAAAATTTAATAGGGGTTAACCCACTACTGCACTAAGGTAATGATAATCTTGTTGTTTTTGCAGAAAATTTAAAAACCCTTTATAGTCTGATTTCCAGTAAAGTATGTTAAGCTATCTCTAGAATAACAAAGTCTGGTAGTTACCTCCCTTAGTAGTCAAAGATATAAATAAACAAACCATAAGGTATATGACCTTAAAGGTATAGCAAATACATCACCAGAATGCAGCTGATTAAATATTAGAGCCCAATTTTATCTATGTAAGATTTTCAAATTTTATTTTTAGACTTTTAGACCTCAGTGGAGCTCCTTCAACCTTTTCCCCTTCCCCCCCCCCCTTGAGGCCTCAAACAAAATGCCCTATTATGGACCCAAAACCCGGTTTTTATTTGAGAAATGTTGTTAAAAAAAGTGACCACTTTTTCGGCGCGCCCCCCTATCAAAATTGAAAAAAATGTGACAGGCTAAAAATGGCCTCCGGTCGATCTTATGGTAACTAATAACCGACGCTGAAAAGCCTTTTACTCTTTCTTAATTCAATGAGAAGTTGCAGAACTTTGAAATCAGTTTTGATGGGAAAAAAACATGCAACATAGTGATTTTTCGCAATTTTGAGACGTCCCCCCGTTGCCATGGTAACAGAAAATTTAGGATTGAGCATGCTGTTACAGTGGCTATGGTCCAGTCAACGTTTGTGCCAAGTTTGATTAGTATTGAAGCATTTTTCATAGTTTCATAGCACTCTGAACTTGTAACAGGAGGCTTTTCAATGAAAACGGCTATTTTTCACAACATGCTCATGGGGTAAAAGGTTAAGGGATATGGCAATTTCCATTGAAATCAATGAAAGGAGTCAAAATTTTCTTGATGGGTTCTTTGTCATTAAAAGGATAAAATGATAACAGTAAAATGCTACAAAGTCATCACAACTAGAAAACATTGCTGCACTCAATTCAATCAAATCAATATTTATCTATTCTCTGACCTGATCATTTATTTAGGGATCACAATGGCTTGAAAAGTTTTGAGGCATATAATATAAAGTGTGTAAAAATAGTTCCAAGAAATAGACTTTAAACTTACAGAAGGCGAGGAATATCTACCGGTATATTTTAAAATTTGCATGAATATGGCCATTTTCAAATAACGGCTGCATGACTGAAGTTTATTATGAACTTTTAAGAAATACATTTTATTGAAATAATAAATCAATGTTTTTTCATATGAAAACAACAACAGATGATGTAAATGTGTTAGTGCAAATGTTAAGAGTTTTCTACAGACAGAAATGTTAAAAACACAGCTCAACAATCTTCCCATCTCCATGAAGATTACAAAATGGGGGGCATTAATGGCAAACAGAAGACTTGTTTTTATTATTTGAATATTTGTTGACATTCGTTTAAAAATCTTACCACTTGTGTTAGCGCCATCTGGAAGCCATATACTCTTGCCAGACCAAAGTCGGCTAATTTTAACTGACCATCAAATGATATCAGAACATTTTGTGGTTTTAGGTCACGGTGAACAATTCTGTTGGAATGCAAGAAATCAACACCACTCAACAACTGGAACATCAGGTCCTGTAAAAACAAAAATAAATGACATTATTCTATAGTGTATGTGTATTCTAGGCTTAATAAGGGCCCATCCACCCTTTCAGGCACTGAGAGTATGAACCCCCCCCCCCCCTTATACTATTCTTAAGTATTGTTTGTATTTAGGTTTATTTATACTCAGCGCCAGAATAACCATATGTCCGAGATTATAGCATCCTTGCCGGTCCACTATGGTAGTCACATCGGGGACGTCTTTTTCAAGCAGAATCTTCCTGGTAGCCCATTCTTCGTTCGTTGGTGGTAAAGGAGACGAGAATACTGTCAAGGCATCATGTTCCTGACTGACGACAACAAAAACGGCCTTCTTTAGCGCCAACCCTCCAGAGTTAGTCACGACAGGTCAACCAATCATCTCTGGTACTTGAGATGACTTGACCTTGACCTGCCGTGTGCCTTCTCCACGACGTGCACGCCTCTGGAGGGATTTGGAGAAGACTATTCTTAATACAAATGTAACAGCCATTATAGTTGGTTGAATTAAATGGTTTTGTGTTTTTTATTAAAAGATAATTTCACTTTGACAGCTTTTTTCTTTTGGGTAAAAACATTTTTCCAGCGGCACATATTACTCTCTGATTTTACAGCATTTCATATACCATATTAATATACATTGTATTCCATGACAGTAAATATTTGCTGATTTAGCAAAAACAATCATTTGATTACAATGCTGGATTGATTTATGACTATATTATATAAATGGAAGCTTCAATTAGACAATTTATAATTACTATTTAAAGCTTGGAGACTAACTTCAATATATTTCTATACAGTATGTTTTAAATTTTTTAATACAAACATTATTTTAAGGCCAATATTAAAGGCCAGATAAAAATAATTCATTGGTTATCAGACCTGCTGTTATGTTTTCATTCAGCCTATATTTAGTATACTTGAAATCCAATTATAACAAAATTATCTTCCTCACATGTTGTTCACTTGTTTTTTTTTCCAGTATTATGGCCTTTTAAAAAATTCATTTAATACAATTTTAAATTTGGCATGACTAAATATAAGGTAATATTAAAGTTAAAATGCTGCTAAAGATTCCTCCAACTTTAATTTCGACTTCTCATTTTACACACAAAACAAGAGCTGTCGGTAGGACAGCACGCTCGACTATTCTAAGTGCTTGATAGTAAAAGAGCCTTGATAATGTTAAATTTTTTAAGATCACAAAAGGTCTAATTTTTTTTTAATAAATTCATGTTATAGGCCTTAGAGAGAGTCTAATTATACAGTATTGGCTTGACTATTCGGAAGGTAATGTCACAAGGTTGTTTTATTGAGTATAATAATACTAATTACCTATGAATACATAAATTTGACAGAAAAGGTACAAAGGCTTCTAATTAAGATGTTTTATCAAGTAAATCACTGCTTTATTATTATGAATGCATAAAATTGTCCCAAAAAAGGCACAAACCCTTCAGTAGTAATTGAGATAACAGCTTACAAGCAAAACTTTACCATGAATTTCTAAGTTGAAAAAGGGGAGAAAAATCAGCCTAAATGCAAGATAGAATTATGGATTTTTGTCAGTGACCTACAATTATGACCCTAAATGCATATGTGAAGTTTTAAATAAATATCTTTAATAGTTATTGAGATATGTAAAACTTGCATGTAAACATTAACCAAGAGACTAAGTAGAAAAGGGGATATGAATCAGCCTTAATGCAAGATAGAGTTATGGAACTTGGTCAGTGACATACAATTATGACCCACCAATTATGACCCTAAGAGCATGTGTAAAGTTTCAAGTAAATATCTTTGAAGACATTTAACCTTTAACCAAAATTTCTAAGTTTCAAAGGGGCAAATAATTCTTCAAATTTTGCAGGCAGAGTTATGCAATTTTGCAAACTGATGTATATTGTTACTATAAAAAAGTATTTTAAATTTCAATTGAATATCTCAAGCAATAATTGAGATATTTGACTTTACAAAAAAACTTTAACCAAAATTTCTAAGTTCCAAAGGGGCATAATTCTGTCAATATTGTAGGCAGAGTTATCCAACTTGTCAATCTAATGTACCTTGTTACTATAAATACGTATTGTAAGTTTCAATTGAATATCTCAAGCAATAATTGAGATATTTGACTTTACAAAAAACATTAACCAAAATTTCTAAGTTAAAAAGGGGCATAATTCTGTCAATATTATAGGCAGAGTTATCCAACTTGTCAATCTGATGTACCTTGTTACTATAAATAAGTATTGTAAGTTTCAATTGAATATCTAAAGGAATTATTGAGATATTTGACTTTACAAAAAACTTTAACCAAAATTTCTAAGTTAAAAAGGGGCATAATTCTGTCAATATTGTAGGCAGAGTTATCCAACTTGTCAATCTGATGTACCTTGTTACTATAAATAAGTATTGTAAGTTTCAATTGAATATCTCAAGTAATGATTGAAATATTTGACTTTACAAAAAACTTTAACCAACGCAGACGCCGACGCGGACGCTGACGCCGACGCCGACGCCGGGGCGACTACAATAGCTCTCATATTCTTCGAATAGTCGAGCTAAAAATCCTAAAAATTATAAACAGCAAAACATTTAAAGAATTTGATATTCTAGCATAACCCTATCATATGATCGCATTTAATGTGAATTAATTATGCCATATCGCCATTTATTGGTAATTCACACATTTAGATATCTGCATTTGAAAGGAATCTTTTGATGAATCAATCAGGTATTCATATCATCCTATCTCTAATACAGCTATTGAAATGTTTATCAAAGTATACTGCCGGTATTGTAAGGTAACCCTAGGGTCAACCCCAATTCAATACATGTTGAACGCAATCTTTGTTGCCTATGACGTAAAGCCCAATGCTAATCTTAATAAGTCAAACACCTATATTAATCAAACCACTATGCCAATACCATTTTGTTGACATACAAAAATTTTAAGCCTTACACAGATTAAATACCTGGTGAACAAATGATTCATTGATTTACAATAATGAGTATACAGTCACTTAAATATTGTAGTAACACTTTTACTGTATTGCAAAATGTATGCTCTTTTTAACCCAATTAACTCTGAGCCTTCTGATATCTGGGTCAACAAGTGACTTTGAGGTACATTGAACAGGTACCACTGTAACTCACGGTTTCTTGATTGCCTCCTCCCAGCAAGATTCAAACCCAATACTTCGGACAATGATTTGAGTTAGCCGACAGACACCTTAACCACCCAATCTTGTTTCCTCTTCTGCTATTTTCCCAGTGAATTCGGACTTTTTTCCTTTTTTTTTTCATATAAAACATCAAACACAAATTAAGAAATTATAATAAAGTTTTACAAATACCCTGTAGATCTTAAGTTGTTCTGAACTATAGTTACGATATAATTCTGAAATGGGAGTGGTGGCCTAGTGGTTAAAGTATCTACCTCTCAACCCAGAGATCATGGGTTGGAGCCCTACTTGAGTCACAACCATATTTCTTCATATAACACCAGTACTAGTTGGTTCCAGGAAGCGGACTGGAAAGTGAATAATATAAGTTGCAGGCAGTTGTTTCGCAATCGAGCTTAAGTTAATATTTTTAATACACTTATACTGAAATATACTCACTTTGATTTTGTCAGGTCCAAGACCCGGAGACGGACATTTTTCCAGGTAAGTTGTTAGATCCTGATCAATAAATTCAAACACAAGCTTTAACTGTATCTCACCACCCAATGACTGAGTGTGCCTTACATCTAACAACCTGGAAAACATAAACAAAGTCAAGCTTTACGTTACACTTGTCAGCCACTCCATACTATTTCTGACCATTCAGTCAAAGGTCCTTCTTGCGTGTATATTTTTGCTCAATATATGAATGCACCTTTTACCAGGCTAAAATGAAGTCAAAGTTATTGCTGAATTTCCTAATGTGCCCTTTGCTGCTAAATTTGTGAATCCACCTTTTACTCTATTTGATTAAGACCTTGCACTTTTTACCATGCTAAATTTTATTTAAGTGCAACATTTAACTCTGCTTTTTAAGCATTATAAGGAAACAACAACCTTTGGGAGACAAGGATTTTTGTTGTGGCTGTGAGGTGTGGTAAGGTTCTAGAGGGATTAAAGAGCACTTCCAGTAATGGAAGTTTGGGAGTCATTTACTCCTTGACTTTGGCTTGTGAGTCATGACTTCCAAAGTGTAATGTTTTTTCTTCTTTACCTATATAATGTGACTTCTAATTTCAGAGATTTTGCAGTCTGTGACTTCCAAATTTTGGAACTTAATGGAAGCCCTGAATTAAATCTATTGTAAAGTCTTGCTCTGGGGTGAACTGAAACTGTTGTTTTGCTCAACAAAGAGTCACTTTGTAGCGGTTACACCATACTATTTCAAAAATTTCTTTCAATGGAAATCTCAACAAAAAAAAACAAGAAAATAATTAAAACAGTTGGGGACTTTTAAATGAAAATTAATTCAAGCAGTTGGGGTTTTAAAACTAAATACTACATAAATAAACAATTCTGAAAATACCTATTTGATAAACAAACACAAAGAATGTAAAAAACATTCATCAAATCGAGAAACCATTGCTTATTGCTTTTTCAAAAAAGGTTTAATTAAAATTAAAATGCATTTTCAATTGGTTTTTCTTCAAGGTATGTTTGTCAAGCATTTATGGGTACAATGTAAATCAATAAACCTATTAGATATCCTGAACCAATGCTAATCAATGATCTATCAAAATACAATAAGAAATTCAATAGCTGACTTTTGTTAAATTGTGCATTAAATCGGTAATATATTGTAAACTTTATTTAATTCATAATCCTTGCCAATAATTCTTTACATTTTAAAAACCATTTTCTAAACAGTCACTTGACTTAGTCATACAAACAAATCGTGTTTTTATACAGTACACAGTTTTTGCAGCAAGTTATAATCAGCCCAACTGGGAAAATTCTAAATTCTGAAATTAAATTAAATGGGAAAAATTGATTATGAACACTAGGACTGGTAAACTTGTGACTTTTTCATTATTATTGACAACAATTTGGGAAAAACTGGTATTTTCAGAAAATTGCAAATTCCTTCATGCAAGCGAAAATTCTGAATTCTGAAGTTAAACTGGGAAAAATTGATTCTCAACACTACCCAAATATTGTGATATTTTCATTATTATTGACAATAGTGGGAAAAAATGGAATTTTCAGAAAATAGCAAATTTATGGGTTCATTCATGCATGGGAAAATTTTGAATTCTGAAATCAAATAAATTGGGAAAAAAATTAATCTCAACACTTGACAAAAATTGTGATATTTTTTTCATTATTATTGACAACAGTTTTGGGAAAAATAGGAATTTTCAGAAATAGCAAATAGGTTCCTTCATGCATGTAAATAGGCAAGGAAAAAACACTGAAAACTGTACTAATATCTTGCCAAACATTATTCTTTGCTATGATTGCATTGTTTTAAGTCTAATCAACACTGCAACAGTCTGCTATAGATCTGTTGCTGCTGAATATCCTCAAGTGATCTTCAGTTCATTGTTTCAGACACAAGCCTACAGATTAACTAGTACCACAAACGGTTTAAAACCTTGCTAAAGTACCTCCCAACATGCAAAAAATCCAGAGTCCCTCGGTGGCCACATTTAAAACCAACTTGCTGAGAGATTTTGATTGCCTGTGACCATAACCTATCGGCTATTGTTCTGTATATTATATTTTACACATTTTTTTTCATGTATATAGTAATGTTGAAAAATGATTTTTCAAAAGTAATAAAATTGTCAACCTGTAACAACCACTTATCATAGCCAAACCAAAACAAAGAGGCTGAGCTGTCAGTAGTACAGCATACTGAACTGTTCTCATTGTTTAATAAGACCTTGGGTAACAAAGGAATTAATAAAAGGAATATTTCATTAAAAAAATCCAATAAAATAGGTCTTGGATATTGACAACAGAATTTTGTAAGTTCACAAAGGTCAATAATTCATTAAAATCCATGCCAAGTATTGTGGACCTTTGACAATGACCTCCAGTTATATGAAGAATCCTGAAGTCTTACATTAAGTTTCAAGTAGATATCTTTAATTCTGTAGTTTTGGAGATTTATTTTGCATTCAAAACCTTTATCAAGAATTTTCTTAGTTCACAAAGGGCTATTATTAAGCCAAAATCAATGTTCACAATCGGCAATAATTCTGTAAAATTCAAATGCTAGAGTTATGGGCCTTGTCTATTATAATCCCCTATTATGATCTCAAATAAGTGAATGAAAAGACAGGCAAATATCTTTTAGTGGTTAATAAGATATGATGTTGTACAAGAGGTTGAACATAAAAACTTCAACAAAGGGGCGGCCAAATTGTTATGCTGACACCGACACCCCTTCAAGGATATTGCCCCCCCCCCCCATCTGCAGTATTTTTGAAAAAGTCAACCTAAAAATAGTTTGGTTGATTTAATATTGAGTGTCATTACCGGACTATATTTGGATGCTCATAGGCCTCAAGTTGTTTCAACAAAGCTATTTCTCGGATAGCACTCATCGGCATGCCCTCCTCTGTGTTCTGAATCCGAATCATCTTCATCGCTACAAACTGACCTTCATTTTTAAGGTCGCGACCTTTGTACACTATCCCATATGCACCTTTCCCGATCAACGATACTTCTTCATATTGATGTTCCCCAGAGTCTTGCCGCCCCCTAGTAGATTGAGCCATGGCTTATGGACACATGTAGTGAATGGATTACATTATGGAAACTCTTGTGGAAGAAACACTGAAAAATAAATATTACAAGACATGCTGTGAATCAGATCACTATAGCGTCTATTCTAGGATTTGAAAAACAGGGGGGATTTTAATCGAAAAGTGAGAATTTATTACATTTGTAGATTTTTTTCCTTCTTTCTCTATGTAAAATTTTCCCCCTGCCTCTGATAAAATAGAGGGGAATTTTCAAAAATAGGGGAAAAACCCGCCATCTACCCTCCTAGAACAGACATTGTCACTTTAGTTAGTAGTTTTGTTGACTAAAAAGCACTTGATCTTAAATAGCATATAATGAATTCCCATAATGATATGTTATCAGAATTCCCTAAATAATGGAGAAGCAGTTTTAAATCAAGAGTAGGGCAAGTAGGCCAATGATACTTACATCTCATGTAACATAAATTAGTCCTTGCCCTACTTTTCCCCTCAATTTGAAAATTTCTCATAGTCTATTTCACATAAATTGCCATACTATTCTTTAAAACATTGCATCTATCTGGATAAACAGCATGCGTGTATGTAAAATAGGATAAGGACCTAGAACATTACGTTGTTACTTTTGAGCTGTTTAAAATTAAATCATTTCATTTTTTCTTGTTAGCGAAACATATTTTTGAAATGACTAAAAAATATCAATTTTGAAAATGACACAGATTTGATATCTAGTAACATTACAAAAATGCCTCCTTGACAATAGCAATCATTGCTATAAAAAATCATTTCACTTGAACATCGAGTTCCTCATATTTCAGTTACAGCGCTTTATATAACTAAAGTCGAGTAACTTAAACTTTGACAAAAAATAGTGACTAAGTGGATTCCATTACATAAAATTTCTATCTGTGCAGTGAATGAATCATTATTGAAGGATTAAATGCACTTAATCATTGTAACTTTATAATTTGTCATGAATGAATTAAAATCATCATCAACCCATTGGTTAATCTTCTGCTGCAGCTGTCTTTAAGCAAAAATAAATTATAAATATAAAGTCATTTACAGTTTAAATAATTGAATGGGTAACAGCCTGGAAAATTTCTATTCAACATGCAAGTTATAAATTTAAAGCTACAGATCATTGGTACACAGTTCATGATTAAGTTGAATTATATGATATAAATTCATTTACCAAAAAGCAACACTTTGAATAGGGTTATACTGCTAAAATTACATTGTAGTCTTAAAGATTAGACTCATCACAATTCTCAAGGAGACATCAAGACCATTTTGACTGGACAATATCTGACAGCTGAAAAATGGGTAAACCTGTTCATGCCAAAAAAAATTATACTAACAACTATAATAACCTATTTCAAGAAAACCTGGTGTGGAAGCTGATTCGACATGTATCATGAAATAGTTTAACCTTTAGCCAGCTGGAACTAAAAGTGATCTGCCTTTTCTACCAGTATAGAGCCAGGTCTGAGCCTGTACATCCATGCAGTCTAACCAAGCAATCTACTCTTGCATGTGAAACATTACATTTTTATTTTTGATATCCCCAAAGTTGATCGGACTGTTTGAAAAATGGAAGCCGGACAAGTCAATCTAAGAAATGCAGCAAGTTAATTAAGGATTATAGAAGTCAATTAAGGATTATAGAAGTCAAGTTAATTAATTAAATTCATTAATTAATGAATTTATTCCGACTCCTTCAACAACAAATTAAAAACCCAGACACCAGACATGACCTCGTTTTCAGCTTGATTAGCTTTTAGTTCAAAATGACTTATACGATTTCAATTATACAAGTTAATTGATTTGTATAACTGGCATTTCTTTTTTATCTTTTACTGACTTAACGAAAATTCTCTTTTTTTTTTAAACTTCTTTAAAAAAAAGAATGAAATGAACTTTGACTTATGTTTACTTTAGTTTCAGTTATTAACATTGAAATATCCTGTATAATTTTTCCATTATTTGGGACAAATTGTTATCAGATGGTACAGTTAACCAATTAATTAAAATCAATCAATTAAAATTTTATCAAACAACGTACGTACGTGCCATATCAGGGTCATTTACTTTATCAAAAGATTAAATACTTAAAAATTGTAAAATAAGTTCAACGACTTGTCACATTTTTTATTAGTAATAGAATAACTCTTCATTAATGTTCATTAATGTTTAAATATTGCAAAAATATTAACGATACGATTTTATGAATGAAAGCACGAGTGTTGCAACTGTACATTTTTAGCTTATTGACAACAAAGACTTGTTGCATGTCAAAAATTTATTGAAATAAACAGAACTTTGACAGTGTTAAACGTTTTCTTACCTTCAGTGTACATAGTTCAATTCACGCTTGAAAATCTGGTAACACTGTTTTTTCCGATTAAAGTCTCCTTCTATTTTTAATTATTTTTCTTTATTTTTCAATCATTCGCTAAAACCTCCTCGTGAACTTGCCAATATCACATGTACACACAAACCGGAAAACCCCGTTTCTGATTGGTCGAAAATTGCAGATGGCATACCATTGCAGGTTAAAGTTCAAATTGGGTAAATCCAAGTAAACAGAGAGGTAACATGGCGTATTCGATAATGTTAATAGGGATAAAGTACCCGACTTCATTTAAATAAGATTTTAAGTGAAAGAAATATCAGATTTTTTCACCTGTCGTAGCAGACACGTAAAACATGTTCTGGTTTGTTCATATATAAATTCCTACCTAGAATAGCACAGTTTTTTGTGATTAAAGTAGCGCGATTTCGCGCTTGCATGCATAGCATTTTGAACAGCCTCGGTCACTCACCCCAAAATGCGTTAATCAATAAGTTGGTCAATCAATAATTCTTAAGAAAAATGTTAATATTTCTAAAGTCATAGCAACAGTTTTTTTCCCCTAATATCAAAAGACCCCGACGAGTGCTCTGATTAAAACTAGGTCTTTTTAATTTTACTTTTTTCACATTTGAAATAGGCTAATAATGATAGATCTAATAATAATAATAGAAAATAATAACTATTTCTGTTTGAAAGACCCTGATTACATGTAGGATTTTTTTTAACAATACATTTGTGTATCTTAAAAAAAACAACATTTTTCTCTCAAACTTTGCATATACATGTACTGATATAAATAATCCATGGTAATAAAATGGACAATGCTTTTTTCACAAGAAAATAGATTTTGGGAGTAGTTTCCCCTCCAAGAATAATCATTTCACCTGTAAAATTATTTAATTGTATATTGTGTGTATATTTATACAATAAAATATTATTAAACTATCATTTCACCGACAAAAACGATACATCGAAGATGATACAGTCCCAAACTCGGTCAGTGTAGTGTTTCCTTTATTTTGATAGAACTTTAATTGTGTTGATTAAGCACGGCTTTAATTAACATTATAGAAAAGCTTCATAGCAGACTTGATGCTTCAGAAACGAATAAAACTTTTTTCTTTAAAAAGATATTTTTTAAGTTAAAAGAATGTTTAAATAATGGCTTTAGAGCATGTTTGATGCTTATTGCATGAACCTGAGACAAAAAAAAAATAAGTATTTTAAGTCCCTGCATGAACATAGTACGTAGAGTTAAATGCGACATTATTTGTCATAAAAGAAGCAAAATGTCAACAATGTAGTATTTTGACTTCCATACAAAATATTAAGTAACTATAACTGTATTAATTGCCAAAATAGCAACAAAAGAAAAAGATATTTAAAGTTTTTGGAAAATGAATAACTTTTTGAAATCTATAAAATGCACCAAAGATAAAAAGCATAACCAATTTGAAGAATGAAATAAAAGCATTTCTGGGGCATAATGGGCCTTTAAGGCAGGGTCTTCAAGGAAACTTGTAGCAGACGTGAGAATTATAGTTTATGATAAATGTCGACCCTCTGTCAGGATTTGAAAGACCCTGCTTCTCATGAAAGTAATCCTAGAGGACTTTGCCATGCAGATTTTCAAAACCCTGATAAAGAGCAGGGCATATTGAAGCCTCATTGTGAGTCGGGCATGTTATCCAATTCCTGTTCATCAAAACAAAACCCCTGCTTTGATCTGTACGGAAGAGGCATTCGCTCCCATCATGCCTGTATCAGGTTTTAATAGTAAATAGTTCATTTAAATCATTCACATCGTTTTAATTGTTATTATACATTTTCTATATACGGTGGCATGCACAGAGGTGACATGTGTGTGTTTTTATTTATCTCGTGCGCACGAGATACTATGTCGTGGCCACGAGTTACTAAGTCGTGCCCACGAGATAATTAAGTGATGCGCACTGGGACATAGATCTAATTTCTTAAGAAAAGCGAGTTTAGAACTATATCTTGAATTCTTTTCATAAGTTTTTTATTTTTCACACAATATAAAATAATAATTATGTGTGCGTGATCACGGCATAGTAGATCTATAAGAATTTGAGAAAATTAAAAATTTCTATATAGATAAATTTCTAGCCATGATATAGCTTCAAAGAATATAATTATGGAACAGAGCTATATTACATTGTATAACATGTATATATCTTTATCGTGGTACCTTCTTACTCTTTAATTAATTAATAAACTAAGTATGATTACGCACTGACTATATGCACTGCAAATTCATAATATTTTTAAATTTTTACGCGTTCTGAATCAAACGATCACAGCTATATTAAAAACTTTGTTGTACCATGTAAACAAATTTTTCAAGTGGCACGTTTTTTGCAGTTCCGCTAAAAAAAACTAGAAGTTGATGTTGTTAAACCTTTCGAAAATTCTTCCAAAAAATTTTTCATTCCTCTAATCCTGAAAATAAAACACGGGCGAAGTAAATTTCAAAAATTTGGAGAAAGAAAATTTAAAACAAAGGGGTTAAACAACATAATGGGCCCACTCGAATTTTTTGTACGGGTAAAGTGGGGAAAGTGGGGGGGGAAAAAAAGAAAAATTGGGAAATTTAAAATTTTAAAGCGTTAAAAAAACCTAATTTTTTAAAACCTAAAATTATTTTTCCCTTTCCTGGGTTCATATTAATTGAGAATATATGTTACTATGTTATATTTGTGTTTAATAGAGATTAGTGATTTCTAAATAACAGAATTGAAATTGAAACTTGTTTCCTATTTTTTTTTTTTTTTTTTTGAAAAAAGTTAAGTTGAGCTCACTGTAAGTTGAATTTCGCATTATCAGTCTATACACATTTAAAAGATGTTTATGTATGCATAGAACAAAAAAAATGTTAAACTCTTGAAGGTTTCCCTGAAAATTCTATAATGTTACACCAACTGAAAAGTTTTTTCTGCCTTTTTTGAAAAAATACCCCAAAATTTGCAGTTTACCATCTTGTAGCTAAATAGGTGGAGTGGTGAATTATGCAACCCGGTTCAATTTTGGGATGATGCAGGTCACTTTTAATTGAGATTGATCATTAAATCTTTGAAACAGTCATTCGCACTGTACCTCTGTTCAGGCATATACAGAAGTTTCATTTCGTAAAGGCGAAAACTCCAATTTTTCGTAGATACTGCCCAAAAATACGATTATTTTAAATATACAAGTATAAATGAGTTTTTCAAAAAAATTATAAATGATATTTACTTTTCTCTCTGTTAAACTGTAACTTTGCAAAACAATGTCCATTTCGTAGACGATAAGTCCATTTCGCGAAATGCAGTCCATTTCGCATTCTATTACTACCGAGTTTAAGGAAAGAAAGTATTTTTTTAGCACTTTATTGCGGGCATGCCTGTAAATTTTGAAATCAGGTCAAATTGTCCCTTGGTTATAATTAATCTTCACCTTCATGGCTTTCTTTTGGTCCACTCTTAGTCTCTTCACTTTGAAAGTCAACTTGTCCCCTACCTTTGGTAGTGTTAGTAAAATGTAGCAATTAAATTACATTGTGGAAATTAATTTTTTATTTGAACCTATCGAAAATAAAAACATGACAATTTTTTTATTTTTGTCTTGAAATACCATGTCACCTGACTGTTTATGGAAACTTTACACTAAGATATCAACCTGGATTAATTTCAATCCTCTTCAACAATTTCTCTATAAATGAACACAGAAAGTTGTTAACCATTATTTTAAAACTGAAGAAAAACAGAATAGAATAAAAACTGTTTATATTAAATCACTGTGAAAATTTAAAATCTTACCAAGTTTAAGTTTTGTTTATTAAAAAATCCAATTGTAGATAGTTGTCTAATAATAATTAGTTTTCTGACAATATTTGATGGATAATTGTAATAGTTAGTTTGCTTATAACAACTGATGGATAAGTTGTAAAAATAGAATGCCAGAAATGTAGGATGTATTGAATGTTTTAGCCAACCTCTTGTATTCATGCATACACATATTCACTTCCCATTTGATATAAAAAGCCACAAGAATCATAATCACTGATAACAACAACAACAGAGATAATTGTTATCCTTTATCAATACAATTTTTAACAGGAAGTAATAATTTTTATCAGACTTACATTAGGAAGTTATTACAGAATGTTATTTCTTAACAATCATGGCCATGGTCATTTGAATACAGTCATCAAATTTAGCACTGGCCCGGTGGTCCATAGCCAGTGAAAAATAGTTCGGGCCAGTGAAAATTTTAAGAAAATTTAGTTAATTAAATATATAGTAGAATAAATTCAAAACTGGAATTCCGGCTAGTAAATTCAAAATCTTAAATTCATTGATTGTGAATATTGCATTGGAAGTTACAAAGGTATTACGGAAGTTTTTCAGAGAGTTGAGGGATCTACTAGGGGCTATCCAAATTGTAATAATAAAACAAAAAGAACATGCATTGGTTACTGTATAAATTTACTGGACCAGTGGCAGTGTTCTATAATGCTTCAATAGTTAGCATAAGAAGTATATCACTCTTTTTCAAAGCACTTATCAGCCCTTAATGATTAATGTCCCTTTGAGTGGAGCAGTCATGTTAGAGGTACAATAAAACTCTAAAAATTGTGCAGGATTCAGGTACCATAATAATAGAATTGGTTCTTTTTTGTCATTCTTGTATCATGGTCTGCAGTGTAAGAAATTCAGATTTGAATCCACTAGGCAGGGCGGACTACTAGATTGGATTATTCACTAGCCCAATAGACATTTCACTAGCACGATTCATTTGTTCAAAACAGTTGTTTATAGATCTATTGCCTCTGAAAATTATACAGTAGCCAGGTCGGGCTTGTTACTGTGAAAAGTTGGTAGCCCAAGGAGAAATTTAGTAGTCAGGGGCTATAGGACTACTGCTAATTTCGAACACTGGGTCTGACTTTGACTAAATGGAGTTTGTAAAACTTGCTGACTAATATTCTGTAAATTATAGCATTGCTTTACTTTGTTATTTTCTAGGTACTATGACCAGCTTACAGCTATTGAAAACAAACTTCCTGTGGCAGAGAATCAGGTCTGTTTTGTTCAATTCTTGTTTGTTGTTGCTGTTCTTTGTTTGTTTATCAGATGGAACATCAAGACATAAAATGTTTGTTTTAAATTATGTAAACTGAAAATAACTATAATTAATATACTCTGTGTACCATGTATGGTAACAATAACTTACTGCCATGATTGTTGTCAAGTCAAGAAGTTGATTAATAGCCATTTACATTTTATCTTGTTTAAAGGCACATTATACCTCAGAAAGAATAAATATTTCATTCTTTAAAAAGGTGATTTTATTTGTTTTGTAATGTTCAAATAATCGTTTTAGAGCATGTAAATGATGTTAGATGCTAATCACCCTAAGTCACTCAGATTGTGAAATTATTTGTCTTAAAAGTAGCAAATTGTAAAAAAGTAGTATTTTGTCTTTCATGTAAAATACTAAATCACTATAACTATACAAATTGTCAAAAGGCAACAGAAGTAAAAGATGGTTCAGGTAATTGGCCAATGAGTAACTTTTTGAAAAGTATAACAGAACATCAAACATGCCAAAAGATGAAAAAGGCTCTGCTGTTAAAAGAATTAAAATTAGTGTTTCTGGGGCATTATGGGCCTTTAATTTAAGTTAATGATAAAACATTGAATTGTTTTATAAATTAGATATTGATATAAGTATATGAATGTGTTTCAGTGTCTTGTATTTAACATTGTGGTTAACTTGTTTACAGATACGTGTGCAGTTTAAGTGGAGAGATGCTTTTGACAAAGATTCCCTGTTTTCTGGCAAGAACACACTTGGTATGTATAGATAATCATTTGATATCAGGTTGAAATTGTAAACCTTTTTACTTTTGTTCCCTTTTTGTGCCCCCACTTTAGTGGCGGGCATTTAGATTTACCCTTGTCAGTCCGTCCTTCCGTCCGTTCTCTTTTGTGTCGCACGTAACTCAAAAAGTATTTGACCTAGAGTCATGAAACTTTACAGGAATGTTGATCAGCATGTGTAGTTGTGTACATGGGTATTTTCGTCTGGATATTTGTAGTATTTTTAGAGTTATTGCCCTTGACTTAGTAAAATTTTTCAATTTTCAACTTGTGTCGCATGTAACTAAAAAAGTATTTAACCTAGAGTCATGAAACTTTACAGGAATTTTGATCAGCATGTGTAGTTGTGCACCTTGGTATTTTTGTCTGGGTATTTTTAGAGTGATTGCCCTTGACTTAGTAAAATTTTGCAATTTTCAAATTTTGTAGCATGTAACTCAAAAAGTATTTGACCTTGAGTCATGAAACTTTACAGGAATGTTGATCAGCATATGTAGATGTGCACCTGGGTATTTTCATCTGGATATTTTTAGTATTTTTAGGGTTATTGCCCTTGACTTAGTAAAATTTTGCAATTTTCAACTTGTGTCGCATGTAACTCAAAAAGTATTTGACCTAGAGTCATGAAACTTTACAGGAATGTTGATCAGCATGTGTAGTTGTGCACCTGGGTATTTTCGTCTGGATTTTTTTAGTATTTTTAGCTCGACTATTCGATAAGAATAAGTAGAGCTATTGCAGTCACCCGAGCGTCGGCGTCGGCGTAACCACTTATGTTAAAGTTTTTGTAATAGTTCAAATATTTTCAAAGTCCATTGACATATGGCTTTGAAACTTTGCACACTTGTTCACCATCATGACCCCAACCTGTAGACAGGAGGAGGTAACTCTATCAAGCATTTTGACAGAATTATGTCCCTTTTTCGACTTAGAATTTACGTTAAAGTTTTTGTAATAGTTCAAATATTTTCAAAGTCCATTGACATATGGCTTTGAAACTTTGCACACTTGTTCAACATCATGACCCCAACCTGTAAACAGGAGGAGGTAACTCTATCAAGCATTTTGACAGAATTATGCCCCTTTTTCGACTTAGAATTTAAGTTAAAGTTTTTGTAATAGTTCAAATATTTTTCAAAAGTCCATTGACATATGGCTTTTGAAACTTTGCACACTTGTTCACCATCATGACCCCAACCTGTAGACAGGAGGAGGTAACTCTATCAAGCATTTTGACAGAATTATGCCCCTTTTTCGACTTAGAATTTATGTTAAAGTTTTTGTAATAGTTCAAATATTTTCAAAGTCCATTGACATATGGCTTTGAAACTTTGCACACTTGTTCACCATCATGACCCCAACCTGTAAACAGGAGGTGGTAACTGTATCAGGCATTTTTTTTACTATCAAGCACTAAGAATAGTCGAGCGTTGCTGTCCTACCGACAGCTCTTGTTAGAGTTATTGCCCTTGACTTAGAAATTTTTTGCAATTTTCAACTTGTGTCGCATGTAACTCAAAAAGGATTTGACATAGAGTCATAAAACTTTACAGGAATGTTGCTCAGCATATTTAGTTTTGCACCTGAGGTTTCGCTTGTGGGTTTATCCAGTATTTGAAGAGTTTATTATTTCCCTTGACTTGGTAAAAACCGTTTCATTATGTTGATATTTGTTCCTTGAATGCTTGAGTTAGAATCAACCAACTTTACAGGAATTATGATCAACATCACTAAATTACAGGAATAATGATTCACATCACTGTGAAGCTATGCACCTGGGACTTTGCATGTGGATTTTTTTCAGTTTTGATAGAGTTATTGCCCTTGACTTACAGTAGTATAAATTTTCAATTTTCAACTTGTTCATGCATAGCTCAAAAAGTATTTCACTTGTAGGCCTGGAAGTTTACAAGAATGTTGGTCAGCATGTGTACTTATGCACCTTGGGGTTTTGCTTGTGGATTTATTCAGTATTTGTAAAGTTCTTGCCCTTTACTTAGTAAAAGATTTTTAGTTTTCAAAAAATATTTAACCTAGAGTCATAAGATTGACAGAACAGTGGTGCGGTGGGGGCACCCGTGTCCTATGGACACATTTCTAGTTCTCTTTGATTAATGCATATATCTATATATGTAAATGTGTTTCATGTGACAAAGTCACACACATTACATATGTATAATAATAATGACATTTGTATACATTTTTATGTAGGTCAGGTTCAACTTTTTGTTGCAAGGACTGAGAGTTAGATGTCTGAAATAGTATTCTTTATTTTCACATTTCAAAGTCTCCAATGTTTTGAGAAGTCTTGTTGTCTTCTTATACACCCGGTATTAATGCTTTCATTGACAATTGCTGGATAAATAATGGAACATTGATATTAAAAGGGAACAGAATACTTGAAATTACTTTCAAAAAACAACTCTTAATATACTAGATATCTTTAAAGAAATACTTGCTCAGCACAGATACAATAGAAAAAAAATCAGTGATATTCCAGTAGCATTAACTATACATATTATATAATCTTTAATTCTTTATTTTATCTATATATTCTTTTGTCAAAGAAGTATATTTATAGGTGTGTATATAATGTGAGGTTAATGTACAACTTGATAGGGAATTATATAATTTGTAGAATTAGGTCATAAATGTTGAAGTAGTCCTTTGATATGTGAAATAATTGAATAAAATTTTTAAAGAAATATGTTGCTGATTTCTAGCTGTGTCATAATACATATCAAGGGTTGACTGCAAAACTGGTGTAAATCATTTTTTACTTCATATAAGTTACTGTAGTTTTGCGGTCAACCCTAGATATGATATTTGTGAAATGTGAAACACTCTTTTTATATTTCATGGAACATATATAGATATGTATATTATAATAAGTTGTTGAAAATCATTTCATCCTCACATCTTTTAGCTATTGCGTCTGGAGCCTATGAAAAGGTGTGTGTGATATTCAACATTGGAGCTTTAATGTCACAGATTGCCGAAGTACAGAATCATGAAAGTGATGAGGGTCTGAAAACATCTGCTAAATATTTACAGGTTAGTTTGCATTTCCTGATTTAATTAAAGCAATAAACATTGTTTCTGAGCCGGGCAAAATTCAAAGAAGGTCTGTTTTACTATTTAAACATATTTGTAGAATTCTGAAACATTACATTTGATTTATTTTACTCAATTTTGATTTATTAAACAGTACTTGTGTCAAATGAGCTACATGTACAAAATGTATACACAATTGTGACCTAAATATGATTATAATAGCCAGTGCAGTATTCACATCTACTGTAACACAGTCTAACTAGACTGTAACACAGTCTAACTAGACTGTGTTGTTAGTAGTTGCTTAAGATCAGATATTGAAATTCCTTGAACTAAAGCATGACTGTTCCAAATTTTAAGCTGGGCAAGTCTATTATATAAAAATAGGGGTATAAGTTTGTGGTGAATCTCATCAGACTACAGTTTCAATTATAAACAGGGATTTGATTTGATAAAAAGATTGCTGGTTATAAATATTGCAACATCCTGGTTATATAGTGTAGATTTCTCATAAAATTCATATGTCTATCAATATCACCATTTTTCTCATAAATTTGTATCCCTGTTAGTAAAATGTAATGGTCATGCCCTGCTTTAGATTTGGGAAATTGGGATTGATATTGTAAACTTTAGGGATTTCAATATAACTTTTTGTTTGTATCAGTTGACAAGACAGCATGGGCTCTCTAAAAATTAAATTATCATTCCTAACTTTTAGGAAGGTGTTTAATTATACAGAATATTAATTTTGATGGTTGATATCTCTGCATACAGCTTTTTGTTAAGACCTTCAGTACATAAGTGTTTTGCTCATTTGCTACACTTGAGTTTATATTTTAAATATGAAATTAACAAATTTAATTTAAACCAGGGCTGAATATATGTCACCTTGTCTAAAACCTAATCTTCCCATTTCAATGATTTATCATTCTTGATTTTCCCCATTAGATAGCCACAAGTTGAAAATTAAAATTAAAAAAAATCACTGTCATTGTCATCATCGGACCATGCAAGTTTGTCCTTTCATTAAACTATTACAAGGAGTATGTTGTCACCTAAGTGCAGTAACGGGTAAAGTACTTCTAAATCTAATAGGAGTTATCCAGCTATTGCACTAAGGAGAGGAATATCATTTAATTTATTATTGTACATGTATATACAATATAATATGAACATTTGTGCTGACTTGTACTTTGAATTTTTTTTTTTATTACCACAGCAAGCTGCAGGTATATTTGGGCACTTAAAGGACACCTCATTGTCAGTGTGTAGCCAGGATCCTACCCCTGACCTGGCCCCAGACACGCTAAATGCCCTCACATCCCTAATGTTAGCTCAGGGACAGGAGGCCGTGTACAGGAAAGCTGCTACAAGTTAGTATTGTTTCTCTCAGATATTCTCGCATCTTCTTTATGCTATTATGTCACCTTAGCACAGTAAGGGTAAAGTCCTTCTAAATTTAATAGGAGTTAACCAGTTATTGCACTAAGGTGATGTTTAGTTCATACTCCAAGTCTCTGCTGAAATGTTGAGAAACTATATAGAAATATGCCATAGCATAAAAGGCCAAAAATACTTCATTTTGATGCGTGCTGTTGTAAATTCAATGTGGCTTTCTGTCGTGATTCAGAGTGTTATCTACCAACACTACTACCATCATTTTCAAAATGGCAACTGGTTAACACAGCTGGTTTAAAATTTTTCCAAAATATGGATATTTTTGTGTTGCCTTTTTTGTCTGTCTGCTTCCGTACACATAGTATGATAGTTATGTTGTGATACATACAGTAGAAGACAATGAAGATTATCATTAAATTCTATTAGTGACTGATACAATCTTTTGATGAACTTATTTACAGAAAGAAGAAAAGATGGTATATTCTGACAACCATACAGGAGCCAGTTTGTGTTTCAATCAGGACTTAAATTATTGACATTTAATCAAACTCTATTCCAAGTTACATCAATATGGGTGATATTTTTTTAGGATTTTTAGACATAAAAAGGCCATCTCACAACATTATTCAATCTAAGGATTTTAAGGATTTTTAAACATATAACTGACACCCCAGTAACAGTTATTGGATATTCTAGATTTTTAAAAAAAACTAATATTATATCTTTGTTACAGGTATGAAGGAGGCAATGGTTGTGAAAATAGCATACCAATGTTCCGACCTGTATGCTGATGCCATGAAACTGATGCAGTTACCATCTCTCAAAGAACTGTGGCCAAGGGTATGATTAAAATGATACATTAACCTTTATCACGCTGAATAATTGTTTCTTAATGGAGGAACTAGATGAATTCTGAACAGTCCTATTTGTATCTGTTTAAAATTGGTAATCTTGTGCGTTTTAAGTTAATTTTGAAGAATAACATACGCCCGATACGCACATTATGTGGAACTCTGTAACAGTTCTGGATTTCAGTATCAATATAATAGTTTTAAGCAGTGTAGTGTAGATCCAGTCAGTTTGCAGGAAATGAATTTATTTGCCTGAATGATTTTTAACAGCCCTAGATAAGAAATTTGAACAAATATTTCATGTTTAGTTTGAAACAATGACAGGAGTTCTCCTCTGATGAATGTTAATGTCAGAAAAAGACATTTAAATTTCTTACAAATTTGTCAGACTTGGTTTTTCATGCCCTTCAAATGGTCATTTATACTTGTTTCAGGATTGGTTAGTTACAGTTGCTATGAAGCAAGCAGCTTTTCATTCTCTGGCAGAGTTCTACCAGTCAGTTGTGGCTCAGAAATCAAAAATGTTACGGAGAAACAGATTTTCACGATTAAAGGTAAGTTAGTATGATGATCATACAGTGTTGAATGATAGCGAGGGTTGATATGAGTGATAACAAGAGTAGATTGATAAATGTCTCTCTTTTGTGAACATTTCATTAAAATCTCATATGTTTTATGTAAATATAAATATTAAATATTAATTGTGCATTAGTTTTGTTCCACTGAAACAAATGCAGTGATGTGGAGAAAAGTTTTCAAAAAATCTTACTACTCAATACGTAAAATTTATTTATTTTCTGTATGCTTTTCTCTCGTGGATTTGTGACTCTTATTTTGAAAAATTGCACCTGCACAACAAATTATCAGACATATATACAGTTTAATTAGTGCATTTGTTAAAATAAATTCATTATCTAAAAATTCAAAACTTTAAATTACTTCTAAAAACAACCGCTCAAAGATTAGAGCATCTGAAACATGTCAACCATAACTGTCTTGCTCAGCCTGAACGCTTACCCATCGATTCGTGAAATCCGATTCACCCTGTGACGTCATCAAAATATAGGTGCTCACACCAACTAAGGCCATCCATAAAAAATTGTTTGTTTGTAGTGCTCCGACCGACCCCATGAAAATGGCCCCGACTCTAAAAATTTTTTACACCTTCGAGGATTTTTTTTTTTTTTTTTTTTTTTTTTTTTTTTTTTGAGATCGTTATGTACCCATTCTGTTAAAAAGATCTTTCTCCAATAACTTTTCAGACAAATTTTGAACTGAGAAGTAGAAGAGTAAAAGAATTTTATTCCAAAACCAAAATAAACGCACGCTTTTCATCGATATTTTGCCAAAACTTCGACCCCGAACATCGGCGATTTCACATTCGCCAGAAACCTTAAAATTTCGCAAAGGGCATAAAAATTCTCAGTTTCCAAGCCAAACATGTGAATGAATTGTTCTTTTGTTAATTATTTAACATTAAATCTTATAAAAGTCGATCCCCTTTTGAAGATATTTGCTAAATTAATTGCCGATCGGATGAATCTCTTACACACTGTGTGAAGCTGTACTCGATTTTCCTATTCATTCCACTAAATGCTGCATATATATACGTACACAGTACAGTTTATGGAAATGATGCCCTCTTCAAGGCATTTTTACAAATATAAAGTTTTCGTCTGGACATATTAAACCAGACTAAAATTCGATTTATTTTTGATATAAAAGTGAAAAAAAAAGATTGCAACCTTGCTTCCAAGATATCAACGAATGTTAAAATGGATTACCCTCCGTAACCATAGGTCACCACTGTATACATATATTTTTACACAAAATAATACCAGAAAAACTTTATTGTTGACATAAATTAATTTAAATTGTTTTGCCATTCATGATTGTCAGAAAATGAGGTTACAGTACACTAAAACTTGTTGAAATGATAAAATTTTCGCGGGAAAATCGCTGGAAATTAATGGGTCTTTTCCCGATACTTTTAAATAAGTTATACCTGTGTTTTCTTTTTAAGAACGATAATTATTCATTAATTTTACCTTTTCCTAAATTGTAATTTAATAGCCATATTTTTTAATCTTTGATGCAATCATGCACTGTTTATTTTTTCTTTAGTTTTTGTTCCTTTTTTCTCCTTTGTAATTGTCCATACTTTATTCCCTTTTAATTAAACACCCAAATGGGTTTATTAATTGTTGCTCTCTTTAAATCAACTTTCAAAACAAACTCCAGGCTGATTACACACTATACATGTATACAGCAGGTGATGTAGATTTTTCTACATACTACACTGCCATATATGGTAAGTACACACGACTGTGTGACAGGTGTAACATACGTAATGATCTATTATTATGCTGGCTAGTGAATGGAGTTAATTAACTGGGTTAATACAGTATGGTTTGTTGGTTAAGTGGCAAGGTAATCTAAATTTTCAAGTGTACCCCTAAAATTTAAAAAAAAACAAACAAAAAAAGAAAAAAAAAAAAAACAATAACAAAAAAAAATCAAAGCTAAAAAATTTGCTGTTAGTCATTTAATTTTAAATAATTATATTCTAACCAGATTAATATTATTTGCAGGATAATTCCTTTTATTCAATAGTAATGAGAAATGGATTTGCTACACCCTCCTTCTTTGTGCATTTAGAATCTGACAAGTCAGGACCAGTAAATGAAATCTTAGGTGGTCATCAAAAAAGGTGGTAATCATTGATTTTACAAACAAAACACCTATACTTGCAGTGTAAATTGCATTTTTCAAATAACACTGAAATACTGGGTATTGAGACTAATTCTGTTCTATTTTCTCAAAGGGCTAGATCTGTCAAGTAATCCGTATTGTATATATTTTTCTCAGACCACTTGTTTTATTAAAGGTATTTTCACCTTTTTCCAGACATTGTTAATGTCAGTAAATAAGGAACAAGTTCAATTATTTTGTTTAAAGATGAAATAGATGTAAAATAAACAACAACAAAAGTGTTACATTGTATGTCTGTTATCATTTGAAATATTAAACAAAGAAAATATCAACAGAAATACATTTGCCTACATATTTTAATTTGTCTAAATACAATGCACAGTGTATCATGGGAGACTATATACTGTGTATTGCTATACTCAGTATGCTCCAATTTTGTAACAATTTCAAAAAAAAAAAAAAAAAAATCCCCTACCTACCTACCTACCCACCTCTTGAATATAGGGTCGGAGCACTACAAACAAACAATTTTTTAAGGATGGCCTAAATGTTTGCATGGTTATTTTTAGTCCGATCTGATCAATATATGTCTCAAAGTCTTAAGTAAATTCTTACAGCATAATGAATATTTTTTTGGCTTAATTGTAAGTGTGTTTGATAAATTTTAACATCAATATCTAATATTCTTAAGTAATTAGGTCATGAGCTGATTGTAGGGGTAAGCATATTTTTACCTGTTCAATTACGCATTTTATTGGATGAATTGTCAAATCGAGTGTCTATTAAAAATTTTTGTGTTTTCGGATGTGTATGTCCTTGCAGAAGTATTTATACTGGACATTTTATTTAGGTCACGAATCGATGGGAAGGCACGAAATCGATGAGAATAAGGCATAACTTTATTATGTTTAAAGTAAAGATTACAAATAAATATTATTTAACTAAATGCAGAGATACATGTATTTTTCAACACCAGATTGATTTATAGTAAGGGACCTTTAATGCCTATGGGGGTTTGTAAGGGATCTTAGATATTCAAAATGATTTGCCCAGTATTGGAAGAAGAAATATAAGATATACTTGTACGATGAGATGAAGTAATTAAGCAGTATAGGAGCTTCCATGAGAAATTAAAGATATTTGACTGCCAACCACAAGCCCTCATCACTGCCCAGATTCAAAGCTCTTGGAAGTGGGCTATTTTCGATGTACACAAGCCTACCTTAAATGTTGATAGAAAATTCATCTGTTTTACTCAATGTCCAAACTTGTGCTTCATATTATAAATTATTGTTAGGTCTACTAGTACTGTTTGAATGTTGCCATATTTCACAAAAGTGTACATGTGTTTAGAAAGCTCTTAGAAAGGAAGAAGATACACTGTGAAATTTGCTTTCTTTATGATGGTTTGCATAAAAAACTTTTTGAATATGAGTTGCTATAAAATATATTAAAGATATAATGGTCATAGTAAACACTCAAATTATGCAATAATGTTTATCAGTGTGCCATGATTTGATAGTATAATTTTTTTTTTTTATATCAATAATAAATAAATATTTATAAAATTATAGCATGCCAAAGAATTGATGGCAGCTGCAGCAACCAGAGGGGGCATGTGTTTCAATTTCAAGAATGAGCAGGGTAAAATACAGCGGGAACTTGAGGCTGCACAGAAAGATAATGATTTTATATACCACGATAAAGTACCGGATGTTAAGACATTACCTGCCCTTGGTAAACTAGCAGTGGCCAAACCTCTCCCTATTCCAGAGAAATTTTCAACCAGCTTCACTGGTAAGGAAACACTAAATAAATGTTTATAACATAATATTTATTAGGGTGGTCACGTTTTCTGATATTTTAGAAATGTATACATAATTATGCCCCCATTTTGAAAAAAAGGGGGTATATTGCTTTGCACTTGTCGGTCCGTCGGTCCGTCGGTCCGTAGACCAAATGGTTTCCGAGTGATAACTGAAAGAACCCTTAGGCCTAGGAACTTCAAACTTGAGTATGGTGATTGTTCGTCATGATCAGTAGATTGACCCCTATTATTTTGGAGTCAAGGGGTCAAAGGTCCAAGGTCACATTGACCTTGAAAGCAAAAACGGTTTCCGATCAATAACTAAAGAACCTTAAGGCCTAGGAACTTCAAACTTGGTATGGTGATTGGTCATGACCAGTAGATGACCCTATTGATTTTGGGGTCAAGGGGTCAAAGGTCAAGGTCACATTGACCTTGAAAGCAAAAACGGTTTTCCGATCAATAACTAAAGAACCTTAAGGCTAGGAACTTCAAACTTGGTATGGTGATTGGTCATGATCAGTAGATGACCCCTATTGATTTTGGGGTCAAGGGGTTCAAAGGTCAAGGTCACATTGACCTTGTAGGTAAAAAACGGTTTTCCGATCAATAACTAAAGAACTTAAGGCCTAGGAACTTCAAACTTGTATGGTGATTGGTCATGACCAGTAGATGACCCCTATTGATTTTGGGGTCAAGGGTCAAAGGTCAAGTCACATTGACCTTGAAAGCAAAAACGGTTCCGATCAATAACTAAAGAACCTTAAGGCCTAGGAACTTCAAACTTGGTATGGTGATTGGTCATGACCAGTAGATGACCCTATTGATTTTGGAGTCAAGGGGTCAAAGGTCAAGGTCACATTGACCTTGAAAGCAAAAAACAGTTTCTGATCAATAACTAAAGAACCTTAAGGCCTAGGAACTTCAAACTTGGTATGGTGATTAGTCATGACCAGTTGATGACCCCTATTGATTTTGGGGTCAAGGGGTCAAAGGTCAAGGTCACATTGACCTTTGTAAGCAAAAACGGTTTCCGATCAATAACTAAAGAACCTTAAGGCCTAGGAACTTCAAACTTGGTATGGTGATTGGTCATGATCAGTAGATGACCCTATTGATTTTGGGGTCAAGGGGTCAAAGGTCAAGGTCACATTGACCTTGTAAGCAAAAACGGTTTCCTGATCAATAACTAAAGAACCTTAAGGCCTAGGAACTTCAAACTTGGTATGGTGATGGTCATGATCAGTAGATGACCCTATTGATTTTGGGTCAAGGGGTCAAAGGTCAAGGTCACATTGACCTTGTAGGTAAAAAACGGTTTCCGATCAATTACCTAAAGAACCTTTAAGGCTTAGGAACATTCAAACTTGGTATGGTGATTGGTCATGATCAGTAGATGACCCCTATTGATTTTGGGTCAAGGGGTCAAAGGTCAAGGTCACATTGACCTGTAGGTAAAAACGGTTTCCGATCAATAACTAAAGAACCTTAAGGCCTAGGAACTTCAAACTTGGTATGGTGATTGGTCATGATCAGTAGATGACCCGTATAGATTTTGGGGGTCAAGGGGTCAAAGGTCAAGGTCACATTGACCTTTTAATTAAAAAACGGTTTCTGATCAATAACAAAAGAACCCTTAGGCCTAGGAACTTCAAACTTGGTATGGTGATTTGTCATGACCAGCAGATTACTCCTATTGATTTTTGGGATCAAGGGGTCAAAGGTCAAGGTCACAATGACCTTGTAAGTAAAAACGGTTTCTGATCAATAACTAAAGAACGCTTCGGCCTAGAAACTTCAAACTTGGCATGGTGATTGGTCATGACCAGCAGATGACCCCTATTGATTTTGGGTCAAAGGTCCAAGGTCACATTGACCTTGTATGTTAAAACGGTTTCCGATCAATAATAAGAGAACCCTTAGGCCTAAGAACTTCAAACTTGGCATGGTGATTGGTCATGACCAGCAGATGACCCCTATTGATTTTTGGGTCAAGGGGTCAAAGGTCAAGTCACATTGACCTTGTAGGTAAAAACGGTTTCTGATCAATTTACTAAAAACGCCTAGGCCTAGGAACTTCAAACTTTGTTTGATGATTGGTCGTGACCAGCAGATGACCCCTATTGAGTTTTGGGTCAAGGGGTCAAAGGTCAAGGTCATGACCAGTAGATACTTTATAACCTTATTAATTGTTTGATCACTGGGTCAGAAGTCATGCATAATAACCTTATCACATGACTAATTGGCTGCTGATAGGGGGCATACATGTTTTACAAACATATCTTGTTATGAAAAAATTTTACTTTTGGTTTGTCTGTGAAATTATCTGATAAACTCTGTAGGGTTTTGTTTTTTCAAATACTGCATTCAATGTCAACAGTATCAAATGAAATACACGACATCTGTCCTATAAGGTCGAAATAACTTTTGTTTTCAAATTTGAAGATTTTTCCCCATTAGTAATCTTTTCAGGACTTAAATTAAAAGGTCAAAGGTGTCAGCTAGAAACAGGGGGCAAAGATTTGTCAAGCGAAAACATTTATGTTGCTTTTCGAACTTTGAACTACGTTGAGGAGTGTTATATTCATGATTGATAGGCCAGATTTTTATATTAAGACTTGTGTAGAAACCCACATTTGGGCTGGAAGAAAGCCTGTGTCATATTGTTTTCAGTTGGGAAATTTAAATAATTGAAATGCAAGTTCAAAAAAAAAATTTTGTTTTACACATTCTTATTTTACATGTATATTTCTGATTAGAGAAAATATAAATTGGATAAATTATTGCTTAAATATTCATGATTTTTCGTAATTTTGTAGTGTTTAAAAAATGCAGCCAATTGAGATTTTTATTTTTCAATTGAAAAAAAAATTTTTTTTTTTGCCATTTTACCTTAAATTACAAATTTCTTTGGATTTTTTATGATGAAACATTTATAATGATTAAGAACAGTTTTTGCACATTTGTTTGTTACATTTCACGGTTTAGCTTATATGAAGACTGTATCATATGTTTTTTTTATTTCAGACTTGTTTGAAAAGATTTTGTGCCAATTCCAGTATATATGATGCGTTGAACACGTTTTGAAGGTTAGAAAAATCCACATTGTGACACATGGAGATCGGGTAGATTACGAGAACAGACTACATTTGATGAATGGGTAAATATATATAATATATTTATTTTCTGTGTGAGTTAACTATTAAATTTATAATTTT